CTGGATACTGGTATTTTTATCATCTCCACCATGGGGAAAAGAAAGAAGAGAAATTGCTTTTCCGTTCCCCGCTCATGCGGCTCACAGGCTCACGATGCCCTTGGCTCTATGGTTGTGGGTTACAGAGTATACAACCATGGAATGTACTCCCAGAGCAGCATCCATCATCCGTTGCAGCTTCCAAAGCACGGAGGTAGGATACCATTCTGGGAGAATGCTCTATGGTTGTACACTACCATAGAGCGTACTCCCAGAGCGGCATCCATTCTCCGTGCTTTGAAAGCTGAAAAAAAAAAACAAGCGGAGGGTGGCGCCAACAGCGCAGATGCCCTGGCTCTGCAGGTACTGTAGAGTTAGCTAAGGGCATCGTGAGCTTGCAAGTCATGCAAGCAGGGAGCGGAAAAGCCGCTAGCGCAACCTTCTCTCCAGCCATGCAGAGCCCCATTCATTCACCTAGGGGCATTCTGAAGGCGCCGAGCCATGGGAGGTGGAGGGCAGCAAACAGGCGCTCGTGTTGCTTGGTGACTTCCGGGTACCGCTAGGTCGGGGGAAAGGGGGGTTGCTGGGTGGCTGCTTGCGAGCATGCTCACCTCATGGCTGCTGTGTTGCTGCTGCAACAGCACAACACAGCCATCCAACCCTGAGGCTGTGCCTGGCTTTTTGGGAGCCTGGTTGTAAGGGAGCAGCTGCCAGGCAACCCCCCCCTTCAGCTGGACACAGCACCGCTGACCGACCTAGCGGTACCCTGAAAGCAACAAGCAATGCAAGCGCCTTTGCCCCCACCTCGTTCCCGCGGCTTGGCACCTTCGGGATACCGCTAGTGCTCTGCCTGGTTGGAAGGGGGGATTGTCCAGGGAGCTTATTTTCAGGGGGGGCTAATATTTTTGCCCACCCAAAATATGTGGCAAGGCTTTAATTTCGGGACAGGCCATATTTTCGGGAAAACACGGTAGAGGAAAACGGAGATCCAAAAGTACAGATAGTCTCTCCCTTAGTCATCTTCTACAAATGTGAAAGGCAGTTAATTCATTTGCAGGTTGAACAGCTCCCATCCAGGAGAGATTTTTAAATGAATCCTTCTATCATTCAAACATTTTATTCTTGGCAGCATGTTGTTCAGAGTGCAGCCTTCTTTGAGAGTGTTTGAGAATTTTCTACTACCTGTGTTTAACACAAAAGAGAGTTAATAATAACTGATCTTGGCAATAAGAGTGCTTTACTTTACAGTTTAATTGTAGCAACAGAAAAGTAGGTAACTCCAAGGATGTTCTATCACTACTGTCCTTGAGAAGAGATAACAAAGTAATCTGTACCATAGAAGGTCAGTTTTCTGAAGAACATTATGGACAAAACTGATTAACTCTTTGAGTACCTTGCCAGATACTGAACAAGTCAGTATTCTAAAAAAGCTAGACCAGCGGTGTCAAATTTGCATCATCACAGCAACGTCATGTGACATATCATGACTTTTTCCCTCTTCGCCAAACTGGGTGTGGATGTGGCCAGTGTGTAATGCATCTGGCCCTCAGGCCACGAGTTTGATAGCCATGAGCTACATGATCTGAAGAGAATTATTAGCAACAACATGTAAAGTTGCTAGATCTTTAATAGAGTTGGTCACTCCAACTGTCCAAGAAAATACAACCTATTTTGAGAATCTGGTTATTCATCCTCTATTTTAATATGGAATATAAATATGGAAAAGAGAGCAAAGAGTCTTTGGGAGTGTTTTCTACCTTACTCTCTACTCCTTGATAAAACACCACAGCATGCAGAAAATGTACGTGATAGAATTGAAATAGAAACTGTCAGATAAAAGGAAGTAAGCTGCAGCCCAAATCTTGGTGAGTTACTAATTGAGGAGGCCTTTGGAATAGGAACCGTTATAAAGACATCACCCTCAGCTCAACACTTATTTTGGATGTAGATACTATTCTGAATTGTCAACCTGAAAAAGTATCCAACCAAGTTGCTGCTCACCTCAAAACCCACTGGAGCGTATGGAACTTTAAGACAGTGAGGAAGGTAAACACATTTCAAACCTACGTGGGTGGGTGTTTTTTTTTAACCCTGGAGGAATTTTGGATAACTTCACTCTAGTTGAAAATTGAAAAATTGTTTTTTAATCCAAAATTCCCGTACCTTTTCAATCACCCCAGTAACATTAAGTACTGACTTGGAATATCACTGACTGGAAGAACACAGTAACATATTAGAATATAATGGAGTTCTTCTCTAACTTTGACTTCATAGTAGTCGAAGAGGCATGGATGACTACAGATGTGGAAACAATTCATTTACTAGGCTTTAAAGCCTGGACTATTCCTGAAAGGAAATATAAGAATAAAGGGTGTATTTATTTGAATGCTGATTACTTGTATGTCATATAAAGGTGATATATTTATCTAAATGCTGATTCCTTGTATTTAGCATATACACATTTTATTACTATATTTTCTTTTATCTACCTTATCCTGGATTTATATCATGTATTTTATTTTTATTTATTTTATTGATATGGTCATAAAACTAATTAATTATTTTAAAAAACATATGCTTAGTAATTGATTGTTGTTATGTATTTTATTGCTAAACATTGTATAATCTCACCTCTAAATATTTTATATGACTTGGTAGTCTATAACATACTACCACAATAGGGGTTTTTTGGTTGTATTTTTTTACTTGCATTTACTTTTGCCTGAACACTTTTGACTGAATTTATTACGTGGTAACAAAGCAGCAAATAAATTATCTCAGATCTGTTCACTCAGTGGATAATATTTATACTGTTCAGTGCAAGAAAAAAGAAAGATAAGTAACAGAAAGAAAATAAACATTTTGATGTGTTCTTTGTTATTTTCATCATTTGGGAAGAAGTGGGACGAATGTAAATATTTAAAAGGACTGAAATGGGCCCTTTTGGCCAGACTGAACATCAGAGACAAGAATACAAATATTGTGACTCCAGCTACAAAGAATAGAAAGTACACCGAGTGTCTGATTTTCGAGAAAACTGGCTTGATTTAGAAGGATGATTCAGTCAAATCTTCTTTTGATTACACTATTTTTTGGGGTAGAAGACACACCAGAGTATAAGACGTACCAAGGTTTTGAAGAGGCAAATTAAAAAAAAGTTTTTGCACTCTGCAAACCTTCCCAAAACAGCCCATTTTTTTCAAAAAAAAGGGGGGCATGAATAGCCTTTGGGAGGCTTGTAGGGGGCCCCGGGGGGGGGG